CAACTGCTACGTAATCACGCCCACACACCCTTTATATACTGCTACTGTGGAAGGTTCGAGAAAGTTCCAGAAATTATTTTTCTGGAAAATTCTCGAAACGGCCAGAACTTTCCGATCGACCCAATATTTTAAAATGTATTCTTAGTAATTTTCAATTAATGACAGTTAAAGTGTATACACCAAAACAAGGTAGAACAGTATCAAGGAGAAACGACGAGCCAGAGTTGACCCTCTCCCCCCCTCCCCTCCCCTCCCTCGACGGAAGAATCACGAACGTAGGAAAGATTCCGGTCCTGGAGATTCCGATCCGAAAGCGAAGTGGAAGCAAGCCCCAAGCGAAACCAGGCAGAACTAAAAAAAAAAAAAGCGGGGGCGGCGTATTCACGAGCCTGCCACTTTTGGAGACAGGAATGAGAGCGAGAAGGGACGCCCTCGTCGATGCAAACAAGGTACCGAAAGACAAAGACGAGGCACTTGCGGAGAGTGCAATAGACTCCCTCATGGCACGATATTGGATGAAATCGATACGTACAAAGGATGATGGAGACCCCCGGCAAGAGCCCCATTCAATTCTCCCTCGATTACACCCGGCGAAATGAAAGGAGAAAGGAGCCAGCTACGAATTCCCCCCACCTGAGGGACTCCAGTCCACGTCGTCGATCCATACGGACCGATGGACCGTGCCGGGTCGGCCCGAGAGGGAAATGAGCTCATCGAACGGCCCAGTTCGGTTGCAGTCCGTGACGCGGTCGGCATAACGATCAGTAGAGATTAGTGAACGACCCGAGGTCTATGTGATTACATGTTCCATCCATCTCAAGAAGGAGGGGGGATCCACCATTGCACAATGGTAGATCGGCCTCACAATAGATGCATCGGCCATTTCCAATCTCCGTGATTGAAGGGGCATCCCGATTTCACGTCATTTTCGCAACGCTTCTTCTCGAGGCTATAGTTTCTCGCTCATACTCCCACCCGTCTCACACATGATAGATTGAGGGTCCAAGGAGCTTGCAGGAACCTTCTGAGAACTTTCTGCTTGGATTGCCTAATGCTAAAACCTCGGAAAATCCCCTCCATTACCTACACCAGCGAACATCTCTGTTTTTCTCTCATTCCTTTTTTTTTCCTTCGTGCTTTATTCCTTCTGGTTATCTCTTTTATCCTCTACTTCTTATGAGTTTCGTCTATCTTCCGGCTTCCGGGACTGCCTGTTTTTAGAATTGGAAGCGAAAACCACACACTCTTTCCAGCGCCCCTCCGCTCTTAAAACGGTGATGGGAAAAAACGGAAAAGTCGATGGTCGATGTCGCCATGATAAATGCACGTGGATCCACAGTCCCAGCAAAACAGTTGGCTTTCAGGATGCTCGAGATCCTCAAGTGACCATGAGGAAGCCAACCAACCCCTACTTCTAGGATCTTCTGGATTTCAGAAATAATCTGATATTCCTCTCTCTCTTTCTTTACAAGCTTGTTTCTCTGATCGAAACATGGGTTCCTTGTTCCTGCCATGCACGGAAACATTTGGTGCATCATAACGATGCACTTGCACTTCGGTGTATTTTTTGCATTTAGACATATCTTTCCCAAAGAGAAATGGACGCATCATATCCGTCACGCGAAGGCGTCGCCAGATAGCGCAAACGTCGGACTGAAAAAACTGCAAAAACCATTTGGGAGCATGGGTAAGACGATGCGTCATTTTGATGCATTCCATCCTTCCTCTACCACCTCATTGCGTCGGGCAACTTCGCATACCCTCAGGCACCCTCACGCACCTTCACACACCCTCAGGTGGAGGTTCGTCGAGACCGAGACGCAATCACACTCGAGTGAGTCGTCCAGCGACCTCACCCCCGACCCACGACCCTCGCCTGTGCGCTTTTCAGGGACCTTCAAGTGACCGCTTCATGACGGCTCTGTGATCGCTCGTGTCTCCATGTTTCGAGCTCGGTTTCATTCGGTATTCAAAAAACGGCATTCTTGCATCACGAGGAGGCAATGTGCACTCGTGTCGTGTGCACATAATTCCTGTGCAACGGAAAGGAGTCGTTCCACGAGAATTATTTGCAAATTTTTCCATTTGGCCTTCCTAAAAATAATATTTGCAAGCAGACGTGCTGATTTCCAGCTTCCCTGGGCTCTTCACGCGATGAACATCTTTCTTTTCCCCACAAGTACTGCACTCCTCGGGCGTGGCTAACTCTTGGAAGCGATGGACCCATAGACGCATGGACCCATGGACCCTACCCACTCCATGCAACAAAAAAAACCACCTTTCTAGGCCGTATGATAAATATCCTACCTAAATCAGTCAGCGTATTCGATAATGCTGAGGCTGATTTTTTTTTTTTTGCTGCTGCTTTAGACATTTCACTGCAAAAACCTCTCCCGAAAAAGCGAGCCCACCCGGCCTGTTAAAAATAAAATCCAATCGAGTTGGTTCATTCAATTGGGCGTTGAATCGTCAACCCGGATCAAATCCGGATTAAACACAGATTAAACCCAGACTAAACACGGAACCAATTAGGACATCACGCGGTTGAGATTTTAACTGCATCCAAGCATTTTTCTTGCATCCCTTGAAAAGCTCCAATTAATCCAGTTTAAATTTAGATTAAGTTTAGATCAAGATTAGCAAGGGCGAGGAAACGTGGTCGAAACTCGACCCCGTCACAATTTGCATTCGCCCTGCGATCAGTCGATGAAGCCGCGGCGGAACGCGGCCGGAAAACAGTGATTTTTCTTTAAAAATATAAATAAATAAAATTTCAAAAGGAACGTAAACTGGGATTATAAAATATTTCAAATAGTCGACAGGGTACGAGGCACGAATATAAAAAAGGAGCTGGCAAATAAAACACAGTGACTCACGAATTGACTTCTGAGTGGAGGGCGGCAACGATGTAATAAGTTTGAAGCGGGAGCCAGCAGATGGCGAAAAGGGCGACCACGATGGCCAGCATCTTGATCACCTGCCAAAAAAAAAAAAAATTGGAACATCTTCGAAGAGTCAGAATCTGGCTGAGCCGTCCTAACGGCTCGGTTCAACGATGAAAATGAAATGAAAATGAACCCAGATCGGTTCTAGGCCAAATTTCATCGCCCAAAAGAACCCGAATCTTCGACTTGTGGCCCGATGAGGTCCACGACGTATCAACCTCGAGATTCTCACTTCTCTCCCAAAGTGTCGCATTTTGTCGCTCGTGGCTCGAGCGATTCCATCGCGTTTCACCGGCAGCGCCCCATTTTCATTCAGGGTCATTCTGTCCCCCCCCCACCTTACATCTTACTTTCCTTACATCTCTGAACGAAGTTATTTTTTAAATCGACTTCCCACAGGTATGACCGGATCCCGGAAGAAGTCTCGCGACCCCTCAGGTTTTCCTTCTCGAACCGGACAACTCATATCGGGCGCAACTCAACTCCCACCCGCGAGGACACAAGAAATCGGCGACTGCTTCCCGACCCTCTTATTTTTCTCCTGCACTTCTCGCTTGCAAGAAAGTAAAAGAAAAAAAACCTCTAAGTCGTTACACTCCGAGGGCAAAATTCCTCGTGGCAACAATCATCGCATTAATAAACCCGTCTGAAACAGAGGGCACAGCGGGAGTGTAAGTGACATTGAAGCATGAGAATGAAAAGGTCATTAATTATAGATATAATGCGAATAATTAGTTTATGAGGTCGATCATCGACCATTACGTTGCTGCATCACTTTTTGTTCCTGCTGTATCATGACCACAGTCTCTTTACCTCTTTCTGCACATTATTTTACACTCTGATTCAGGTTCGAACGAGTCTGAAAGGAATTTCCGCCGAAACGACTTCGATTCGGAGTCCATTGTTTCATCTGCAATTATTAATTTCAGTCGGTGCCGATTCGACGAGTCGAAGGCATTAATCCCGATGTCGAAGGCTCCGGTTCCCCCTGTTTCCCCCCGGTTACGTTCTATCGGGAACAGATCTCGACCACAAAAGTAATTTTTCTCTCAAAGATAAGATTCTTTTCTCCGGCTCGAATTTCCTACAGAACTCCTGACGCAAGGTTTTCCCTCGGGAGAAATCTTCCCCCGTCGATAACCCGGGGGCAAGATAATTACAGCCGACATCGAGGAAAGATTGCTTGTAATATGACGCCTGTCTCCTATCAAATCCTTGTCATCCGATATGTGTGGGCGAAGGGGGTGGAAATTATGGAGGTGGAGAGGAGGAAGTGGTGGAGAGAGTATAGAGGGAATGGAGGAGGGAGGATGGAAGGGGTGGAGGGAGGATGGAGGGGGTGGAGAGAAGATAGAGGGGCGGTGGGGGCGGAGGCCAACATCTTCAGAAACCTATGATGTCGCAGGAGAAAAAAGTTATGTAAGAACGCACATACGCGATGAATATCTCTTTGGAGCGTTTCTTTGATCAAAGGAATGTTATTTGGATCTCTTTGACCTCGCCACCGAGGAGAAAGCAAAATCCTCGATCGTCGCTCATTCGTTCCGTACTTGTTTCGCGCGGTGTCAAGGTCTGCATCGCATCGCATCGCAAGACGGCCTCGTTTTCTCTTTGCCGGCATCGCCCGATCCGTCGGAGGAAAATGTTTCTTTCGCGGAAGGACATGTTTTCATATACGTCCGAGGAATGTAGCTTCCGTCGACGTAAGCACGCGAAAATAGAAGAAATACGGTTCAACGACTGGAAGGAGCGTGACGGGGGTCGCTCGAGGGGAGGGAGGGCTCGTCTGCAAGGGAGGGAGGGCGAGCCTGCAGGGGAGGGGGGGCCCCCTGCATGAGGTATATCAACCTGCGAAAGGTAATAAGCCGTCGATCCCCTCTGGTTTCTTTTCGGGGCGGGAATCAATCACAATTAGGGGACTTGCAACTTCTTTTTCCTCACTTCGCGGCCAATATCAGAGGTGAGACGGGGAGAAAGTTCCGTCGTCAGCCTCGATATACCGGGTCGATTCGGGTCTGAGCGGGAAGCCATCGATTCGGGGTGAGGGGGTCGGTCATCGATGAGGGGGAAGGAGCCACGGGGGTCTGTAGTTTGGGAGGGGGGGGGGATATCTTAATTGGCTTTTTTTTGTCGATGATCGGCCGAAATGTCAATAATTGCGATCTTTCTCGGAAAATAAATAAATAAAAAGGAATTGCCGAGAGTGGAATGTGGGAGTGGGAGTGGCACAACCGTAGCGTCCTAATTTTTTTCTCTCAATTTAATATTCCAGGCAGGCAAGGACCGTGGACTTTTCGAGTCCGCTCTTTCGGTCCGTAACGTTAAATTAGCAGGAAAATAAATTCCATACCACGCCGCTTCTTTCATTTCGCAAACGCGCAAAAAAATTGTTGACGTTCTTCGAAATCGACCAAATAAAAAAATTTGGCACGCGAATCCTACTTCTTTTCATCTCCGACTTTTCCGTCTTTTTCTCCGGAATCCGCTTTGTAATCTATCTGATCCTATTCCTGACTTGCATTTTGAAATGCGGAGAAACTCCGATTCCAGATTTTGCTCAATTCTCCCCTGATCCCCCTTAGGATCCCATTTAAATACGCCTCCATCGCAGTACAATTACAATTATTGTTAAGGCAACGTTCTCAATTTTTTTATATGAAAAAATAATAATAAACCGGAGCCCCCCCGGCCGGCCCGCAATATGAGACCGCTTTGTGGAAACGGGAATGAGTCAATAGGACCCACGAAAAGAAAAATCCAGCGAAACAAAGAAGAGATTGAAAAGCCTTGTCGACTCCGATACTCCAATTGGAAGGGAAAAGGCCAGGATCGAGCCTTCAAAGTGATCAAGGATCGATCAAGCGCCTCAAAAAGGCTAAATTTTTTCTCCTCATTTTTCCCCTTATTTTTTTTCCTTGTTGGAATCCGCCCATGTCCGATCGAGTCCAGGTGAGATTTAATTCCGCCGACGATTTCTCTTTTCTCGAAATTTCTTAATTAACCTTTAGAGACCTTCATAGACCTTAGAGTTCCGGGAATGCGAAGGTAGGAAAGAGCGAATGCCGGGAACAATCGGGTACGTATCCGGCACGTATCTGGAACGACACGAAACTGACTGCAGGTGGCTCTCCTCGACCACAGGTGGTCGACGGTCGACCGACCCCCGAACGGCTTGAATCGAATTCCCAGATGAAAAAAAAAACACGTCGGGCGTTGAAATCGACGCAAAGATACGAGGAATAAATGAATGCGAGAAAAAATCTGGAGAGCCGCGATTGAAGGCGAAGGCGGCCTTAGAAATGAAGAAGGTGGCTTGAGAATTGAGCTTTTTAAAGAGTTTCTCATTCCGATCGTTCGAGTGCGAAATGGTTTTTCGGATTGTTGGTCCGTCCGAGAACGGTTGCTCCGATTATCTGATTTTTGCTCGGTTGCATCTAGAACTTTCTCGGGAATCACTCGAGGAAATTTGTTCATATGTGGAAAATTGAAGCATTGGACCGATGAGCCAGAAGGCAAGCAGAAGTTTGCATTAGCACGGTCAAATCTCGATATAGCGCTGCAGTTCGAATCGCGATTCCCCTCCGACACTCTATGTACAGCAGCAAATTGTGCAGCCGGGTGAGGGTCGCCCCACGTATGCCTAGAGGCGCAGAATCGGGCAGAAAAAAATCTAGGAAAAACCATCTTTCCACAAATAGATGGGATATGCCGATATCGTCTGTCTCGCTTCCCAAGCAACGCAGGCGAGAGGACGAGAAACTCTCGATGGATGTTTCGAGGGAATCGCGGAATGCGCTCGTACCTCGTTTACCTCGTTTGTTCGCGATCGGGTCGAACCTCTGTCTTCCGCGAAGACCCGACCGAAGACCAGAGGAGCTTCGACGTCTGCGTCTTGGGATTCGCCCGACGAAGTTTGAGGGAAACCTCGAAGCACGAAACAGGGCCTCGAAGCACGCGAACAGCCTTTCCGGATCGCTTCGATCCAGTCTTTGACCGGCTTCTCTCTTTTATTCGTATTTCCACCTATTGCAGAGAGAAATGAAAGGACGACGTCTAACGCGATCGCACATTTCAGTCGAAGCCGATTACGATCATAGACGGAGTCGAAGGACACCTGCATTCCGCCCAGGTGGAAAACAGGTGGAATGCAGATGGAATACAGGTGGAACACGTGTTTGACACGAAGGTAACCATAGCATCCGATCCGGCAAGGAGCGATGGCTCCAATCGCCATGGCGACCGGTCGGCTTAACTTTTCCCTCCGTGTTTTCGACCCAAAGCTCCCACCTTTACCTGCCGGAATCGCGTAGGGTTCAAAAGACGCACGAAAGCATCAAGAGCGTCTGGTCCAAAATGAGTCCAAAAATTTGTAAGCGAAATTTCAGGAAACGTATTCGAATGGGCGTCGTCATGGTGAGGTACTTCACGCTCTACAAAAAAAAAATTTTAAAAAGTGAATGAGAGTTTTCTGTGGCTTTATCGAAGCCTTAAACGAAAATCCGGTACAGCCCTAGTTGTTAGAAGCAATCGGAATCGAAATTAAAGCCTGGATGAAGTGCACTGCCACTGTTACGGTCCTGTGTCGGAGCCTGCCTGTCGGCTGGACCCGCACGACACCGCGTTCAATGCGATCTTGCCTGCCTTGCAGGCTGCGCATCTTCCCTGTCCCGTTCTTTTCCAGGAAATGCATAAGGTGGAATGGGGGCTTGTCATCCTAACGGGGCTTCTTGGTATCGGGATGCTCTTCAGGTTTGCTTTCACCGATGTGGACGCGCTCCGGTCCCGACCGGAAACGAGTCATTACCTGTATCCCCAGCGAGGAGATCGATGCACGAACGAGAGAGAAGCCGTAATCACGGGACTTCTTCGACGGAACCTCGACAACACCTGCTGTTGACGTATCCATCCTCGATCGTCCCAGCCATTGTTCCCCCTGCATTCTCCTGCTAGCGACTCCCTTTGCGATCTTTACCCAGCGCCAACACGATGATCTCCCGTTTCGGTCCACTTCATCACGCGAACGACGAAGTTCTCACACCTGACTCACATTCGTTTACGTGTCCCTCGTCTACCTCCTTCCGAGATCAAGTGGTTCATATGGCCCTAAAGATCGTTCCGTTCTCGTCCCGTTCCGTTCTCATCCCATCCTCGGGGAAGGAGAGCTAAATATAACCGTTGTGCGTCGTGGAAGAGGACGAAAGAAGTTCGGTCCGGGCCGGATATGGAATGGGAAGCACCGGTCTCGGTCACAGGGAACGGATATGAGAACCGGAAATGCATGGATGACCGACATACAAGCCAAAAGCAGACGTATAATCGATACGACGATAAAAAAAAAGCTCGCCTCCCCCTTCAGGGGCGATTCTCTGGACGATCCTCTAGATGATTCTTGAGATGATCCTAATTCGCGTGCCCCCCCCCCCCCCCTCCGAATCTAGGTCGAATATAAAATAAACTGAACCTTTTTCTTGTTCTTGAGGAGCAGGGCGTCGCGATGATCCTCGGCGTTGCCTGGCATCTGGGCTCCCCACAGGCGGCAGCCGATCCTCAGGTACGCAGCGCTGATCACCGTCAGGGGGAAGAAGTACTGCATCGCCACCAGCACGTGCGAGTACACGCTGGAAAGAGACAAAGTGAGTTCTCTCAATCTCCTCGATCGATCGAGCTTGCATTATTTTTGTCCTTCCTTTTTTTCCCACATTCCTCCCAATCAAAGGGGGAAAAGATTTTTTCTCCGTTTCATTTCGAATCCGTCTCAAAAGTCTTTTCCTGGAATTACTGTTTCCATTGTTGTGAGTCCATACTTTTTTCTCTCTTTCTGCGATTTGCGTCTCGATGCCGAAAATCGCGGATTTATTGAACGGTAAGGAGGTAAATGGGGGCTTTGAATGAAAACTTACGACGTCATCTGGCCGATCGAGGGGGAAATCTGTTTCATTTTCCTCCCTCTCCATCGGAAATCTGTTTCATTTTCCACTGCCTCTATCTCCTGTAAAGGTTGAATAAATGGGAAAATCTCGGCGATGGCTTCCATTCCTCACGACTCTCGGCTCAAATGGTAACGAAAAAAAATATCATTGGGATTGAAGGGTTTCTTGGCAATCTCGAGAAAGCGCCACGATTTTCTACTTTATCAAGATAGGTGAATACATGAAGAGACATATAGAAACATGAAGATGAGATACCCCGGAAGGGAAAAAAACGGAAGGATTCGCGACAGAATTGATTGTCTTTGTCCCTGATCCGCAAGGGGAAAACATGTTTTTCCTTCCCAGGCTTTAACATGCCGGGGGGGGGGAAGCGAATCGGCGGTTCTTGTCACGTGGGGATTTATGGAAAAGACTTGACGGAAAAAAAAAACAGCCTTGGGTTTTCTCGATTGGGTTTCCCTCTGTCCTTCAAGAAAAAAAAAAGATATTGTGATGAGGTTGTTGTAGCCTCTCGAACCCATTGAAGCGTGCAAGCGTGCTCTTTGCCTCCTCAACCATGCTCCGCACTCGGAGAGGCCGTTCCCTTTTATGAACTTCGCCGAGGAAAACTTAATGGAAATTTGCTGGGAGGAGGGGGGGAAGGGGAGAGAAGGGGGGGAGGTTATGAACGCCGAAGAGAAACAAGGAAGTATAAGGTCCCTGTCCCCGGAACCAAAAAGCGCCGCCAGCAATCAACATCTCTATTTCGCCTCCGTTTTAATAAGCGTTTCACTTCGAATTAATGAATGAAATAATTTTTTTCCAAGCAGGGACAGTAGCATATGCACCGCAAATTAGGTCCCGCCAGTCAAGAAAGCGAATAATTACACGGACGATCGTTCAAAATGAATCCTTGCAGCCGGAACGGCGGGAGTCCACGGCGGCGAGTCTCGCAGCAGGGCCGAGCCGATTCCAATCAACAAAGCTCACAAAGGCACAACAGAAGACTCACTCGTACGAGACGATCTCATCGAGATCATCTTTGGGGGTCTCCTCGATGGCCTGTGATCCGCCGACGGTCAGAATGGAGTGCCAGACTGATGCAGCACGATCGTTAGACTCAACGAAAGCACACCATATGTTCATCAAATCGGTAATGGGAGCTTGAAATGTCTCGAGGATGCACGGCATGAAAAGTCGCCACGAAAATTCTGAGATGGAAAGTGTGACGAGACGCCCCCGGATGCCACCCCTCCCCCCCACGATGCCCCTGCATCGAGTAGACTGAGTGCATTCGATGTGTTCCTGACAGTCCAGACTTCTTGCACACGTTTGGAGATGAGGATTTCGTGAGAAATCTCTCTCGGATGTTTCTCGCAGACCACCTTCGTCCTGCATCGCTGAATCCCAGAAAGGTTAATCGAAACGGCCATCTAACGGACAACAATAAGCAAAAGTCCCCCGCCAACATCACAAATTAATTTCGTCTCGCGGAATCCCCGAAAAGGAGAGAAAATCCGAGCAAGGATGGGGAATCCACCGGCGCGTGAATCTTCCCTTTCGCTCCTCGGAGTTTCCACCTGGACTCCCCGAAACGAGCGGCGGAAAAGAGCGGTCGACGAACGGTCTCCGTCGCAGTAAGCCGAAGGAATCCGCTCATTGCGCCCCAACAAACACGACCGGTACGGTAATGATTTTGATAATGATTTTGGTGATGAATTTTCTCCCGTTGCCGAATCGGACCGGCTTTTTTCTCTTAAGCGGTGCGACCGAAAAATATAACGATATGGCGATATTACGATATTAGACCTTTCTAAAAAGAAACCTCGTCCAACCTCGTCGATTGGATTAGTTTGGCCTTGTCATTGCCGATTTTCTTTCATATTGTCATTCTATATTACCATTCTATACCGGCATTTCCTTTCATTTCGTCGTAATGCCTTGGATTCAGAACGCATGGATGAATTCGTTCTTGCAATCTCTTCGTTTCAGAATCCTGTTATCGTCAATTCCTTATGCATCATAGAAAGAGGTTCGCGAATAGGATTTCGCGAATGGGACCTCCGCGAGTGAAGATTCATCGGTATCGTCGCTCGGACCGACAAGGTAGAAATAAAATCCGAGAAGCGGAACCAAATTAATTTCCTGCTCCATTTCCACAATTTTCATGCATCTCAACCACCGTTTACATCTTTTTTAATTTTACGGGTTTCTCACGAATGAGGTCCATGCGCAGGGCATGAAAAGGGGAAACGTCCATCAGATTTCCGATTTTCTTTCCGACGGAGGTTCCGAATTTTTTGCTCGGTTTTGACTGACGGCGAAAGTGGGATCCGAGACAAGACCACAAGCGGCTCCTTTCTTCGAGGAAGGCCGACCGAGAACGCACGCCAACTTCTTTTTTGGCGATTCCCCAAGGACTCGCAACACTTTTATGGGTGCACGGTATGTCGACATTCCCTATCGCCGACACTCCCTATCGTTTCGGGCGTGGGTGTGTCGGCCTACCCGCCGTCAGGGGGAACATATCATTCCGCTGTCTGGTAAATACCGTTTCGGAACGCAAGGAACGTTCAGAGAGTTCCAATCCTCCACGTTCTTATCCCCAATCGGAAGAGACGCACTCTGTTTGGCACGTGCAAATCTCCTCGAGCGGCACTTTGCCGGCAGTCGAAAACGGAATGAGGGATGACAGCGACGCTCAAGCGATCATTGGCCAAAGCGCCTCTTCCTCCACCTCCTCCGCTTCCTTCACCTCCTCCATTTCCTCCACATTTTCTCATTCCTCTCATTCTTCCCCGAGGGCACGAGGAAGAAGGGAATCAGGCACGCTTCGCACTCTCTCGACACGGAATCGCTCTAACAACTGTGGAATGCAGTAACAACTTTTTTACTCTCGAGGAGCAAAAAAAGGAGAAAACGAGAGTAATTTGCCGCTATTTTCACTCTCGTCGTTTGTTCCCGGGAAAGTAGTCGATTTCATTCATTTTCACTCCTCGAGTGCTTTCGGGGGGAGATTGCCCAGTCGAAAGAAAGACATGGACTTGAGTGAAATATATGTGAAAAATAAAATCAGTTGTCGTTTACTTAGACCCTTTCTTAACTGACCCCTTCCCCCCCCATTTTAAGCAAATCCCAGTACGAGACAATATCCACATTTGCAGGTTTCGGTACAAATTCAGAGACAGTGGGAGTCTGTCGGTCTGTAATTTAATTTGAATGAAATGATTCTTGCAGGCTAAATTGCTATGCATTCAGGTGAACCTAATGTCATGGACATCGTGCATGTTAAGTTGGGCTATTATTGTAGTCCAAGAGAGACTACTTTTTGAGGCCTCAAACCACGCGGAAATGAAAATTCTCGTTCGAATGAACTGTTCCATAAATTTAGAATAAATTAATTTATACAAGTGGAGATATCGAATTTTGAGACACATATTTCCTCTTTGCGTATTTGGGGAGTCAAGCTGGACTTCAGAGCAGCAACTAATATTTTTTTAATTGGTTGCTTCTGCAACTTCATGCAAAAGGGATGGGGGAAAAAAAAATAAGGAGCAGATTACAATGTCGAGAGGGATCAGAGTCCATCGCGATGCCAGCCCCAATTCTCGTAGTCGTCGAAGGTCGAACGACTATTTAGAAGGGGAAAAAAATGGCAGGAATGTGATACGTCAGGAGACGCTTGATTCGCGGTCATCGATTGCCGGAATTGCCTGATTTTGCCCCATATATTGTCACAGCCCTTCAGCTCGACTCGATCGGACTCGGTTTTCGAACGGTATTTGTGGTAACGGCTTTCTACGAGTCGCCCAAGGGACCTCTTCGTGACCTTTCACTTCTAACATTTGACCTCCGACGGTAAACTCTCATGTGAAATATTTCGGTGTGATCACGCATTTTCCTGGGAATCTTGATGACCTTGAACCTTGGACCATCGTAGAGAGCATCCCTGATCGGCACGGCCAGTCATAAATACTGTAATTCTGAATTGCTGGTGGACAGTATAATAGAGAATTTACAGTTCTGGTTTTTGGGACTTAGGAACAATATGATTCTGATGAATTCATGCAGGGAGAGATGGGGGGAAGGAGGGGGGTTGGAGAGCGGTTGGTCCAAGAAAGGGGAAAGCCTTTCAAAGATGGTTTTCGCACTACTTTATTGAATTGTTTGCGAAGGAAGGAGGATCTGCCGTGAACGTTCGCATGCAGAACGCCAACGTCAATGCTTCCACGAATTACAGTCGAGCGAAAAAGAAAAAACAAGGGTGACGTTTGAGAGCAGGTGATCCGAGGGACATGGAGGGATACAGGCGCGACTCGAGGAACACCTGCAGGCGACGCGCTTCATTTAGGCCGATCGGCGCATAAGGATTCGTGAAATTGCGGCCCGACGCACGAGATTGCATTCGTTCGTGTCGGGTATCCCGCGGCGCAGTTCCACGAATTCTTCGTGCGCACATCGGCATTCATAAAGAGATGATCGGGCTTTTCGTTTGCAGCTGTTCCCAATGTGCCGCTGTCACGGGGAGCGCCTGAATACTTCCGGGAGCACCTGTGTCCCTCCATGTCCCTCGGATCACCTGCCCTCGAACGTCCTGCTCGTTTTTCCCTTTTCCGTTTAATCGAGCAAGCATTAACATGATAACAAACATTAATAATATAATAAAGCAGGTTGAATCTTTACTAACACGAAATCATAACTGTATATTTTCTTGAAATTTGAAATGGTCATGTCGATAAATTTTTGTCAAGATCTCATCGATCGCAGACGATGCCGAGCGCGGAACTCGACCTATTTCGAATTTTCAAGACGTGATGCGTCCGATCCTAAAAATAAACCGAGAGCAACTGAGAATTAAAAAAAATTGGCCCAATTACCGATCCGCTTCGTATCTTCTGAGTAATTGGAGTGAACATGAAAAAAGGAAAATCTATTTCTAGGTTCTCGCATCGCTTTCTCATTGCCCAAAGAAACTCAGAAGAAACAAAGCATCGATTTAAAAAAAAAACTACGAAGAGCTTCTGCAGTCAGGATTGCAAAATCAATTTTTTTCCCCCGCAAAAATGGCACATAAATAGTGTATATGGCATAGTAAATTATTCACCAAACACGTCCATTCTTGAAACTCTCCCATGGGAGAAAATTATTTCAGTTCGAAAATGGTGAAGCATTAATTTATTAATATTGTCACATTATAATTTTGTTTGTTACCACGTGACTCAAGTTCCAGCCTTTCGTGGACGGCGAGAAACCAAAAATTTTGACGAGCCAAAAAATGTTTTCAACTAAAACCTTAGATGCCCCCCTATAATTACGAAGCGGATGGACATCGGGCAGAAATCGGAGGCACAGTCGACATACGGTCGACCCTAGACGACCGCCCACCCCCCCCCCCCCCCACCCCCCCCGCCCCCACCCGGAAACAAGAATGAGACACCTCTCGGGGAAATTCGGCCAACAGAGACGCGATGAACACCGGTTCGTGCCAGAGAGTCGGACCGAGGGGATCGATCAATCGCTACCCAAATCCCATATTTACGATGTCTCTCAAGGCAAATCATGGCGTATCTCATCCTTCTTTTCCCGTAATCGATCGGCAGCGCGTGGGAAGATCGTCACTCTATCAATGGCTTCATGTGCGACGCGTGTTCCTCGTTCGTCGCCGATGCAGGATGGATCGAGGACCTTGCCTCCGGGATCGAGGATGAGAACGATACAGGAGGAAAAAAAAACCGAAAAAGACGTACCTAAAGTACTGACGATCCATGCCCACGACGTCGCAGAACGGCTTGTTCCCGCCTTGGACGTAATCCGGGACGTAGACGACCCGATGGGCCAGGGTGTGCGGGAGCGCCAGGGCGACTCCGGTCGACCAGATGACCAGGATCCAGAGTTTCACGCCCGAGGCCGTCGGTCGGTGCGACAGGGGGTTCACGATCGCCAGGTAGCGGTCCACGGCGATCGCCATCAGCGTCCCCACGCTCACGTTCACGCTCAGGCAGTTGAAGAACGGGCAGAACGGGCAGAGGAACGACGGCAGGTTCCAACGCTGCAGCAGCGCCGCCTGTGCACCCAGCGGTTTTCACTCGAATCAGTTCGCCGCGATACCAGAGAAAAACTAGGAGCGATATCGATGCACGACGACATTCCGATTTCGGCTCGCAATTTACGAATGCACGCGCTTGCGACCATGGCATCTTTCGGAAACTCTATTTCCTCCGAAAACATCAAAAGGGTTTCGGAGCGACATCTGCCTCAACATCTCTTCATACAGAGCAAAGCAGAAACGTTCAAGAAGTAGAAACGCGAGATATTGCATCGGCTAGGCCCTAGGTACGTCCATCCCTTTCTATGCATGCGGTCCAGAGGTTCACATAGGTACGACACATGACTCGAAAGTGCGTACAAAAGTACACAGTAGATGGCGTGGGTGTTCCCTGGAACGTCAGAACTCAAGGCATGCAAAGTTGGATCTTAAGAGAAGAGATCCTTTGTTCTTTCCCCTGTCCTCTTCTCACATTGAGACATATGGAACGATATAAGGTAGAAGTGTAACTATGACAATTATACGGCTATCAACTCTTCTGGAAACTTTTAAATGATGGGGCTTCGCATGGAAACAGGGAAGTGTATACTTCTTCATCGCTAAGCTGTCCAGCATAATCTTGCAATCTGTCTCAATAACACTCACAGTGAGGATCCTCATTGTCAACAAATAGGATTAATATACACATCTTCCAATTCCTATTCAGAAGATAGAATAGAAATTTGTAGCCACTTTGCTCCTGTATCTTTACGACGAACGTATTTTACTCAAGCGTTTGTACGTCATAGCACACTAAACATCTCTCTGGGCGTTTATGCTATGCCGTGTAGTACAGGGACGTCTTCGAATCCATTTAATTTTTATTTTGGAGCAGGTTGCTCAACCCTTCCAACGGGTCATAAGTCTTCCGTAATCTTTGACGGCCGGAGAGAAAATATGTGAGGAAATCGCTCGACAGCCTGCTCGGCATGCTTCCAGATCCCGCATGAAAGAAACTTCTGTGACACGGAACCGGGGGAGCGACGGCTGTTTCGCCTTCGATCTTTGGTGATCGAGGAAGGGTCGAGACGAACGTATCTCGAATAACGAGGGGCTGCCCCAGGTGTGCGTGCCGTTTCGAACAAGAAGATAACAATGCTGCGACTGTTAAAACAGAATAAATTTAAATTTAAAAAAAAATAATAACAAAATAAACTTTAAAAAATAAAAATAAATAAAATAAATAAAATAAATAAAAAAAAAAATAAAAAAAAATAAAAAAAAAAAATAAATAAAATAAATAAAATAAATAAAATAAATAAAATAAATAAAATAAATAAAATAAATAAAATAAATAAATAAAATAAATAAAATATAAATAAATAAAATATAAATAAATAAAATAAATAAAATTTAATTAAAAAAACTAATACATTTTGTTGCCTAACCTGGAACTGGAAGGGGACGGCGAGCACGGCGAGGATGAGATCGGCTAGAGCCAGATTGGCGATGAAGTAGTTGGTCGTGTTCTGGAGTCGGGTGGAGGTGCAGACGATCCAGATGACCAGTCCGTTCCCCAGCGTCCCCGTCAGACTGATGAACCCATAGAAGAGGGAGAGGATGACGATCTCCTCCGGCTCCACTTGGTAGAGCGTAACCAGTTCGCTCCCGTTCGCCGTCGAGTTCGCTTCGTCCGCTCGGTCCATCGCCTGGTGGGAAAAGGTTTTCGTTCGTTGACGTCAGGCGATTGCTCTCGCGGCTGACCGGGCTTAATACAGGGCTTAAAAAGTTTGTACGAGGCGAACTCGGAGCAGAGGGAAGCCGTTCCTTTGCAAAAGTTCCGTGATGTTTTCGCGAGAGGAATCCCTTCGGGACTCTTCCCCACGCTATCGCGTAATTTTCTTTTTTTTTTCTTTTTTCTTTCTTCCTTATTGATGCGGAATCCGGTATAAAAAAAAAAACAAGAGGTGAAAGGACCATTGGCCTCCCGTTTTACACTAATTCCATTTTAAGTCTGCGGAGGAAGACCCGGAGAAGTCGCTTGCTGGCGACCCGATGCAATATTGCCTATGCAATATTGCATCAAAGCCGAACTTCTTCGAAGCGAGCTGAAGCTTTCTCGTTCTCTGTTCGAGTTCGATCTTCCCGACACCTGATTTTCTCCAGAAACTTACGAAAAAAAGGAATACCTTGAAGCATCTCGAAGCATTAATATTTTATGGAATTTATCTTATCAGAATAATACATTTAAAAAATGCCATGGAATGTTTTCCGCGCGATTTTTATGCTAGAATGAGTCGCAATCATTGCTTTATCGTATGCGATAAGAATGAACCCTGGAGACTCTTTATGGGACCATTGTTTTTTATGAGTGGCTCCTCGAACTTCCCTCGTGGAATGTGAAACCGACCCCGGTTTCACATTTGCTTCTATTGACGAATCGGATGAGAATGGAAGAAATGAGAGATCCTCACTTTCCAGTATTTTTAAAGATCGGCTGTGAGATACTTCCGCAAGGAAATTTTTGGCTCGAGCCATTAAGAAAAAGGAGCATCGAGAGCGGTGCGATGAGACGCGAAGGCGACTGAGAATAAAATCGGCGGAAATCCGCGGTCGTGTGTCGACATCGACACAGAATGGGAAATATTTAGCTCCGATAACTTATCGCTCTTGAATTTCAGCTAGAGGTAGAAACGCAGAATTTCGCTTTATGGTGCTCCTGTCACTGAGAAGCGAAAGGAAAGGACCATTCATAAAACACAAGGGACATCCAAGTCCAATCGGGCCGTGCCTCCTTCACCTCTGCCTTAGGGGTAGGAAATCAAAGGAGAGAGGAAGGGAGGAAGGAATAATTTGGATGGCCGGGTGGCGAGGATCTCCCAGTCGAATGCGGGAGGCGAAGGGTCGGGTTCAGGTGACTACCTGCACTTTTTCTGTAGAGAATCACCTTCTTGGTTCCCAGGGAGCGTCAGCTCGGCATTGGGGCAATGCACGCGCCACTTCTAAGTATTACGGGAGAAGTACACCTTCAAAATCAATCGTTCCGGGCCAACCGGTGTTCTGGGCCCCTGGGGCCCCCTAAGGTCCCCTAGAGGACCGCGGAGGGGTGTCCTCGCATGAGGTATTCTCGCATCGATCGAGGTGCCGGTGCCAAGCAAGCATTCGCTTTCTTGCCCAAGTACTGTGATTGAAAAATGTTCTCTTCTCGAGTGTCGGCCGCATGGCCCCATCTCGAGAAAAATGAGTCCGGGCGTTCACCTTTACACTTTGCCATCATCCGGCGTCCGGATTCAAGCTCGTTCATTGCCGGATCATGCAGGAAAGAGTCAGGATAAGGAATAGAGGCGATTTACTGACTATTAAAAACGCTTTACGATCCACCAAGGAAATTCCTCCCAGGGCAGGGTTTTCCAAACTTTTTCGGATCGTGACCGACTTGTTAACGAAAAAGAAATCGCTGCAATTAAAAATGAGGAAATAAAACGAACTAAAAGTAAAATTTTTTAAAGGGAGATTTCTCGCGAGTCACAGTTCGGGAAGCCCATTGGAAATCCTGTAGGACTCGTATTAGCTCCTATGAGAATCCCAACGAATTTCTCCATGAGGGAAGCCGTTGCATCGAAATAACTAATTTAATATAAACACGATTACAATTTGAAGGTTTCCGTCGAGGAAGAAAAAGAGGAAATCGGTCCCTCCGTTGTGCACTCTGGCATTATCTTCCCTTTTTTAAGCTCCTCGCATTCTCGTGTCATTCATGCCATCCACGTCATCCATGTCATCCGTTTGTTTACTGCGATGAAGAGCGGCAATGCGAAGATATATGGCGTCAATCGAGGAAAGTGTCGCGTGATGGAGATAGTCAGGAATTAGTGCGGGGAAACCCAGATGGAATTGGAACGGATCGCCCCGCCCTCGTTTCGTCACGCGCTCCGTCGAAGGAGCGCGTTTACTTCTACGCCGTCCGTGAGATGTCAACCAGGGAAAACACAGGATTTTTCGCACTTCCTAGGAAAAGCCCATGTCTTTGTCACTTGGGAGTTAAAAAAAGGCACTAAACAAACGCAGCTATTTATTTTTGCAATGCGACAAGTTTGTGTGTCGAAGTCTGGATGCGGAAGTGAGAAGAAAACAGATGGTATCGCCAGGAACTGGCATTCGCTGACTGGATGTGAGGGATTCCACGAGAAATGGTGCGCAAGAAAATAAATCACAAAGGGATATGGAAGGCTGGAGCAAGGATCGACTGGAGCAAGGATGAGTTGGAGCGAGGATGGACCGAGGAGACAACGTTAATGTCATATGACGAAATGCGAATAGAAAGTCTTGAAAGACAATATTGCTGGTATGGACGAGGTTCGTAAGTGCAGAAAGCTGGCAGTAACAAGTTGAAGAGAAAAATAGCCGAAATAAAAAATAGCCGAAGAGAAGAGATGTTAATGATGATCCGAGGATACAAAACCACGAGAAGATAACACAGCTTGACCTATTTCCAACGGAATGAGGTCGTGCTTCCCCTCGAATTAGATCATTCCGGAAAAAAAAAAATTTATCTTTCAAAGCAAGCAATAAAGGAATGAAAGCGTACGAAAAAGACAAAATCGTGAAGTCGACTAATTATGGCCTCGAAGGCGGAACGACGAGATTCGTCAAGAAATCTCTTCAAATCACTTCGTAAAAAATAATCAACAAATTAATTACTGTTAAATGACTCCGTGAAAATGTATGAAGTATCGGAACTTTCAAGTTCACGGCGCAGCCTGCACGAATGGCTAATTTTTTTGCACTCGACCCAGAACCGTAATTACAGCGTTAATTGGCTAAGCTAATGCGTCCCCGACATTGGGCGCACTATGATCGTTAAAAAATCCATTTCGCGATTCGGCGCCGACTGTTTTGATTCCCGGCCTCGTCCGACCTGGCGATGTCCGGCTTCGCGTTGCCGGACAAAATCTGAAAAAAGGGGAAAAAAAGTGGAAGATGTCGAAATGGGTGAAAATGCATCTTGTTCCCATTCTAAAACATTTTCAACTGCTTGCTTTTTTTCGGAAATCAACGTTACTCAATTTTGCCAACTGTTGATGTTACCTTAATTTTTGCTACCTTAATTTTGAATGATAAGCAAATTTATAATCTCGCATCGCGGATTAGAAACTTGGACGTTTCTTCCTTCGCCTTCTCATTCCGATGAGATGTAAAAAGAAACGAAAGCCTCTGCTTCGCCTTCGACCATCCCATTTTCCAATTCAAATGTGGACACGAGAAAGTGAAATGCGAAACCTAAATGCAAATACGCCTCCGCGCCCTTTTCCTCCGTGCCCCCTTCCTCCGTGCCGGATGGAAGGCATGAGAAAGAGAAAAAGCGACGGGGCCTTGAGTCAGTCTCATTGGCAACGTTCGGCATGTGAGGTCGTGAATACTAGAGGATATCGATTGGAAACAGATGCAGGGCCGTAATTAATCGTTGTAGGGTGTAATTACGGTCACGCATCTGCTCGGCGAGATGGCCATGTATGGTCATCGTAGCCCCAGCTTTTTTTCGAAGGATTTCTTTTTAGGATTCCAAGGGCTGGGGAAAAGTTTGCGGGGGTAGTCGATCGCGCGAATGGGGAAAGAGAATGAAATACGCATGAGAGGAGCTGAAGACTCGGCCATATTTTGAATTTTTTAATCCGATTTCCTCGTTTTGGTTGACTGAGTTCCTCCGAAGCAAGCATTTCCCTCGGTCTTCCCTAGGTCTTTCCCTTGTCGATTTCCCCGGACGAGTGCCCACGTTTCCGTCCCCGCGCGGATGCCAGAGCTTCGTTTCGGCACGTCGAAATCGAGGCACTCGCCAAATATCGAACAAGGAAAAGGAGATTTGGAGGGCATCCTCCATTTTTTAACACTTTCTGCCGGTGTTCATTCAGTGCCGGAATTGAGGCGGGATGGACAGGATAGAATGGATGGCTCACTCGTCCATTAACCCTCATTCCATTAATCCTTATCCGGGCAAGGTAAAAGACGAACGTAACCGCGCCTATCATTTTAAGTACAGTACATAGTGTGAGAAAACTAAAGGCAAAAACACGTTTATCACGAAGCAACGTCTTTCCGTTCTTGATTTCAATAACTTTCAAAAGTAATGCAACATTATTTTGCATCCCAAATAATTTTCTTTTTTTACCTCAGGTAAAACTTGTGAAACTAAGGTATAAAAAGGGTACATTTTCCGATTTTTCTTTCATCTGTTTCACTGTCTGAATTTTACTGCGATATCTTATCGCTTTCTTACACGTAATTCCCTATTTGTTACCTTCGGTTCGGTTGATGTGGTCCTAACAAAGAATAAAAACTTGACTTAACTGAAAAGAATGTCACTCCATGAAATTTTCGAAAAAAATGAAAAGAAAATTCACAACAAAATACGAAGAAAATTTTCAAATGAGCCACTAACACTGACGAGACCAACTCGACGTCATGACTGATACCGAACCATATGGGGAATAACGTGGTTCCAGCAGACAAAAAAAGACAAGTACGAATGTGCTAGGGACAACATTCCCCTGAGATTGCATGCATTTGACCTTTGTGACTCATATTCAGTCTGAAGATCCTGCATGCGGAGGAGTCCTTTTTCATGAGCTAATGATGAAATCTAGAATTCTCCTCTTTCCTCTCTTTTCCCCTCTTACTTTAGTTGTCAGAAAGCCCCTTCGGACACTCA